GATAGATAGATAGATAGATAGATAGATAGATAGATAGATAGATAGATGGATAGATAGATGGGTGGATGGATAGATAGATGGATAGATGGATGGATAGATGGATGGATAGATGGATAGATAGATAGATTTTTTTAAAAACCCCAAACCACAAGAAAATCCAGACATATGTACTAGATATAAAAGAAATGAGATTGTACTGGCTAAAGCGGGGCGGAAAAAGACCTACTCATGCATAACTTGCTGCTTCTTAAATATACTATAAATATACTTCTAAGATGGATGGCCTTTAAATTTCTGAGGCATCGGTAGACAGGGATTCTCAACTATAGAACAACGCATGGTCTCCCCAGCCTGGAAGAGCACTGTGCACCTCTGCAGATGCCTTCCGACAGGCTGCAGCCCCTAGGATTCCTGCAGCTACTCGGTGAACAGCTGGAAGGGAGGCAGAGTGCTCTCCCACGTCTGCCCAGAAGCTCCTGAGAAGCCACACTGCCTGGGCCCAGTGTCTAGCCAGGTCCCTACCACTTGTCTTGGTGGCCAGTTGTATTCCAATTCCAGATCTCAAGCCAAATCTTAGTTTATGTGGAAAGCTGGGACGGGTTTGGGGTAGGCGACCATGCAGGAGGGAGCAAAATCAGAGGAAGAAATAAAAGTAGGAGCTGCAGCTCAGCCTCACGAGGGTGCCCTCTTGTCTTGTTTCACGAGCTCCTTCCTACACGACTGGATTGTTCAGTTTCCCGTTCTCCCTAATTTCTCCCGAGCCACCACAGCATTTCTGTCCAAAATCAACCTGATAGAACTCCCAGATGGACTACTGAGATTTCTTAAATCTTGCTTCTGAGCTGAGATAAGCCAGAAAAGATGACAATAGAATGAATGGGCCGCGGCGGTTCAGTGTGGTGAAGAGATAAGAAATTCACATTTTGGGTACCTATCGGATCCTAACTGCGGTCCAAGAGAGCCCCCTGCTGGTACGATTGGGGAACCAAATGCCAGCAAGCCTTACCCAGCCAGGCTTAATACTGTCCTCTACCTCGCCTCATTTCAGTCGCTGAAGACTTGCTCACCGTAGTGTGCCAGACACCTGTAATCTCAGCCCTAGCGCCATCTTCTGCAAACACATGACCAAGTCCTTGCGCTGAGGTCCCCTTGGCTAAGCCGTGTCGCCACCTCCACTCAGTGAAACAGGCCTCACCTGCTCCTGTCCTGTAGCCCTGTGTGGGTGAGGCAGCTCGCTGAGCTGGAGCTGGAGTGGCCAGATGTGCGCTGGAGCTCACCCATCTGCCTTTCTGACTGCTCATGGCACATGGTGAGCATTACAGGAAGAGACAGAAAGGAGGTTCCATTCACGTGCGGAAGCAGTGCTCCGTAAATACAGCCTGGGTAACCCGGCTCCGCACATCTTAAAATCTTGTCAGCCTGCAGATGTGTGTGTGAGTGTCTGTGTATGTGTCTGTGTGTATGTGTGTGTGTGTGTGTCTGTGTGTCTCTGTGTGTGTCCGTGTGTGTGTGTCTGTGTGTGTGAGTGTGTGTATGTGTGTTTGTGTATATGCGTGTCTTGTCTGTGTATATGTGCGTGTCTGTGTATGTGTGTCTGTGTATGTGCGTGTACGTGTGCGTGTGCGTGTGTGTGTGTGTGTGTGTGTGTGTGTGTGTGTGTAGAACAGGGAGCCCTGCCAGAGAGGCCAGAGGAAGGCCTGCCCAGCGACACATGGGTGACCCACTAGGACCTTTCTACCAAAGAAGCAGATGGTAACCAGAAGTGGAGCACGCTCCAATCTCTCTGTTCCTCCCCGGGGGAGGAAGGGTCCCTTTCTACTAAACCCTAGGCTTTGCCCAGGGCTTGGAATCCAACATACGTGTTCCCACACACTAGACATGTGCTCTATACACTGAGCTCTGCCCAATCTGCAGTTGACTTTAATTTCCTCAGGTCTCTATGAAATAACTATCACCTGGGTTCGGTTTACAGGGCTGTGGAATTGCGGCATCCCTTCTCCCTCTGGGACCAACTACCAAGCTGGAGGTCAAGTTGAAAATCACCCAAGAGCTTGCTGTGTGGAGACACCCTCCTTCCCAGGAAAACAAGGTGCCCTTCCCAGCCAGCCAGGTTCACCAGCTCCCTTCCAGGCTAGCCTGGAGCCGGCCAGAGTCACCCTGCAGTTCTGCGCTCCTGCCTTTCCTCTCCTTCCCTCCATGTGCCACGCTGCTCGTCATCCCTGACACTGAATTTGCACGCACACAATTTGAAAGAACGTCCCAGTGGAGACTGGCACGTGAGAGTGAGGCACACTCGTAAACAACCCTTCTCTTCCTGAGCCCGGGCTGCTTTCCACTCGTACCCCGCTGACACTCCGGGCCTCCGTCTCTCCTCTCAGAGACTGGACCCCACAGGAGGTTCATGTTCTCACAGGACTTGCTCAGAAGCCACTTTCACACCAGCCTTGGGGTGGGGTGCTCGCTGAGCTAATGGGAGCAGAAAATCAGACAGTATCTCCTGAGCTTTGTGCTGTGCGGAACCCAAAGAACTGAAGAACCTCAGCTCTCTCCCCTCTCTTGCCCTCTTGGCCTCTCCCTCCCTTTTCTTGTTTTCAATGAATGTAATTTAGATGCCTCCAGAGATTTGAGTTCTAGGTCCAATTGAGAAAATTCTTCTCGTCTTTTCTCTTTCCTTAAATTGTTCTGAAGCACGGAAGTTCACTCTCGTCCAGGTCCCTCATCACCTAAAGGAGAAACTGAGGTCCGGCGAGTGAAGGGAGCTACAAGCAGTGGAGGGCCTGAGGCGAGATCCTTAGCTTAGAACTGCCCTCTGGCTGCCGAGGTCCTGAGGTGCTTCTGATCGCTCGCTGTAGGGTTTGGGACAGCTGCAGCACAGAGAAGCCAAAGCTGGCCTCCCAGGGCCTCGCATATAAAACCGCACGTTTGTGGGCCAAGCTTGAGCACAGACCTCGGGGAGAGGGGCAAATGGCACCCGTTCCCAGCTGCTCCTGGGCACCCATGCCTCGCTCACCGTTTGGCTGGCCCCCTCCAGGTGTGTGTGACATGCTGTTAGTCCCCATCGCGGCAGATCCGTCATCAGCAAGGTTTTCTCTGGAAAGCTGCTGTTTTCAGGGATGCACTAGGCCATCTCTTTTATTATCTGCTGGAGGGAAGGAGGTCTCCTCCTCAGTCCTCCAGGTGTGGACCATGCTGCTGCGCAGTTAAGGGGGCTGGCTTCTCCTGTCCCATGGCAGACATGCTCCAGCACAGACAGGCTACAGCAGCCCGCAGGCAAAAGCAGGGTCACCCCAAGAAGTCCATGGAACACCTCTGTGGGGCACATCGGAGAACTGAAGTAGCTGTGTTTCTTGCTCTGTGAAAGCTCGGGCAGGGAGGGTGCCTGTCATTGCTACTGGAACACTCCCAAGCCAACCAGAAGAGCCACAGACAGAAGCGCCTGAACTAAGAGGCTGGGTGTGCAGCTGTGCAGGGCACTTGCCTGGGATGCGCTAGGCCCTGGGTTCCAGCCCATATACCTCCAGGAGCAAAGCAAAAACTAACCACAAACAAACCACGCTGGGAAACAAAGTGTGAAAATCCAACAGTACCAAAAAGAACTCAGCAAACACAGCTGAGGGATGACTGGACTCCCAGAGGGATGACTCAGCAAACACAGAAAACTGACTAAGCGCACAAGAGATGACTCAGCAAATGCTGCAGACACCCAGTATGAGCCACGGCCTTGCTCCTTGACAGAATGAAACAGGATGTGCCCTGCACTTAGCTTTGTTTTTATTAAAGCTTGTAAGCCAAGGATTCTTCATGGGTGACATACAAGCAAAGCAACAGACAAAAGCCAAGGAACTCATCATGTTGCACCAGAAAACTTCAGACTGTTGAGGAGCTGCATAATTATAAGAGCATTAGGGTGAGTTAGACACCAAATCAGGAGTGTGGCAGGCTGGCCGGGAGCAACACCGCCAGCCACCAGCCTGCTTATCTGACTGGTGTGGCCTGGGCGGGCATTTGAATGTCCAAGGCTTTTCAGTGAAAACTGTTGTTTCTCTAGTTCTGCCTGAAGTCCATTTGCCCTGGACAGGCTTGTCTTTCAGCCTGCCAAGCCTCTGCCAAGCCTTGTTTAAGGATAGGCTCCCTAAGGTCTTGGGAGCCCACAGGAAAGGACCACTCAGTTCATAGGCAATAGAAAGTCTGTATCGCTGCTGGCTGGACTACACTCAGATGGAGCACTCCGATTTTAGAATAAGGCCTTTGTTTTTAAGATTTATTTATTGTTTATGCAGCATTTTACCTGCATGCGTGCCTGCACACCAGCAGAGGGCGCCAGATCTCACTATACATGGTTGTGCGCCACCATGTGGTTACTGGGAATTGAACTCAGGATCTTTGGAAGACCAGCCAGTGCTCTTAACCTCTGAGCCATCTCTCTAGACCAAGGCATTTTTTTTAAACGCATTTTGGTATCTCTGCAGCTGCAGAGAGTTTTTGCTTAATCAAGCAGTTCAATAAAAGCTAGGCTTAGTGGTTAGGTGGGGGAGGGGGAAGGTTTGCCCAAGCAAGCAGTTAACCAGAAGCTAAGTTAGCTGGGTCACCTCGACCTTAGGGTCGTAGAATAGCGTCGAGTAATTTTCCACAGGGTTCTACATCACGGAAATCAAATTTCCAGTTAAACCTAAAATGTTCTTAGCAAGAATGCATGATGAAGAAACCCCCAAAGCCCTGACCCTGTCACAGCCCAGAAGGCAGTGCTGGGGAAGGGGCGTGTGGGCCCTGCATGGCTGCCTTCAGACCCACTCAGACTTTTTGGGCCTCAGGTGAGGGGCGCTGCCCGAGGTGGCCAGCCGCCCAGGAGCTTGAGGCAGGCTGGCCGGGCAGTGTCTGGGCGGCTCATCTGACCTCGTGACCTCCGCCCCCAGGTCGGGGGACGTCTCTCTGTGGGATCTGAACTCACGCTCTGTGTGAGCCTCCGTCAGCCTGTCGCCGGCTGAGGAAGCGGCCTCGCTGACGTCGTGGTCTGAATGCTGCACCCGCCCTGCCCCGCCCTGACCAGCGTGGCTGCGGCCGCCCTGGCCAGCTGTCCACGCGCGCGGGAGCTCGGGCACACCCTGCGCCTCCTGGCCGCCGTCCTGGGCATGACAGCCCCGAGGGTCCTGCACGGGGCCCGGGGAAGGTGTGGGGCCCTCGCAGACCGGGCCGGCCTCTCCCTTCACCCACCGCCTGCTCGCCCGTGGCCTCCTCGCCAGGCTGCAAAGCAGGTCGGCCACGCTGAGCAGGAAGGACAGCGCACTCAGGGCCCACAGGGACAGCAGCAGGAGGGACTTCTCCGTGGGCCGCGACACGTAGCAATCCACAGCTCCTGAGCAGGGCACGCGGGAGCACGACACGACGGCGGGCACAGAGAAGCCGAAGAGAAGGTAGTGCAGGGCGGCCAGGCCGGCCTCCAGCGGGGTGCGCAGCAGCAGGTGGGCCAGGTAGGCGGCCGACAGGTCGGGGACCCGGGGCCTGCGCGCCGCCGCCGCCAGCCTGGAGCCGCGGTGCAGGGCGAAGGCGCCGAAGGCCACGGAGGGCAGGAGCAGGGCCAGGCTCTGCACCAGCCAGAAGCGCAGCGGCGACACGGGCGAGAAGAGGTCATAGCAAACGTTGGCACATCCCGGCTGCAGGGTGTTGCAGACAAACCTCTCCTGTTCGTCCTGGTAGATCGGCGAGCCTGCCAGCACCACCAGCAGCATCCTCAGCAAGACCGCCACGACCAGCCAGAGCACGCCTAGGCCAGAGCAAGGGCGAGTCAGGGTCCAAGGCTCAGCACAGCCGCTTAACCAAACCCGGAAAGTCGGGAGCGCCCAAAGCAACAGCGCGCGCGCATGCACACACCGGCAAGGAGCAAGGATCAGAACCAGACAGGAAAGCGTTCTACAGCTGAGTCCACCATCTCCTCCTGGGGCGATTGCTCCCCGAGCCTTTGCTGTACCAGGAAGAGCCCGGCCATTATCTGTAAGGTCTCCAGCGAGCAGGTCTATAAAGCGCATGGTGCGCTGAAGACGCCTGTGCGTCTTAGCACTTTGGCTAAGAAATCTGTAACGTAATTCCACCTCACCCGTCTTAGCTTTTTCACGGACCTTAGCGTGTGCCCCTCGCCGTGCTGAGAAACAGAAGCTGGAAGCTTCAGCATTCTTTTTTATGATGCAGCCTGTAAGCGCTCTGTGACTCTCCGTCCTTGAAACTGAGTTTCCTTAAGACTACGCCCTTTTCTAGCATTTCAAGACCCCTTCCCCTTAGCCCGGCCACCGTGTAAACAGCACTAAGAAAAACTGTGAACAAACAAAAGAAAAAAACAACTTCCATCATTCATTCAGGCAGTCAGGTTCTGAGAAAAGAAAGCATCATTGGGTGATAGAGTCACAAACCTAACCTTTCCACAGCAGGTTCCTGTATTCAAATTCTACAAAACAGAGGGAGAAGAAGCTACCAGCCATGTGTCAAGCAGATCTTACCCTTCCCCCGTCCTCTTCAGACACCAATGCCTCCCTGAAACGGATTCGTTTGGCTCCCATCAGGGATCTTTACTAATCTTTTGCTAAAAGAATAGCAATGACTGCACGCGGTTTTGCAAGACTGCGACCCACACTTGGGAAGCTCAGGCAGGAGGGTCACAAGTTCAAGGCCAGCCTGTGCCTTGTAGCAAACTGGGAAGAGAACAAATGTCTAACATAGTTTAGTGTGTGTGTACCTTCCCTGCATGCCTGAGGCCCAGAGCTCTATCCCCAGCACTACAAACAGCTAAGTTAAACTTAGGGTCTGTGTTAAAGTGCATAAGAGAAATGAGTAATCCTCGTAACTTATCTCCAGAGACAAAACCTGAAAGACAGGTGAGGGGCAACAGCAGCAGCAAAACCTTCTCATTCACTCCACCTGATTCTCTGCCTTCAACTTCCGAACGCAAAAGCTGGGATCTTGCCTGAGACTGATACTCCCACCCATACATCCCCCCATGCTGATGGGGGCAAGGCACGACCCCCATGAGGTTTGCCAGGGTCCCACACCAGCAGCCATGAGTGCTGGCCTTTCTTTTAGGAGTGGACCAGACAAACTGAAAATTCAGATAAACTTTTGAAAAGGATTTAAATATGGCAGCAAAACCACAAGAATTGGGGGTTTTTTTTCCCCTCAAGACTCACCCACGATGGTCACATTACAGTTTAAGGTGATAATGAGGAACTCCAACAAGTTCAAGTTCTCCATGCTTGAAGAAAGCCACGGGCCTGGACTGTTAGAGGGTGGTGAGGTCTGTGTGCTCCAAGGACATTTAAAATTCAACCAAGTTTTTCTTATGTCAAACTTCAAGGTGAGCAGCAAGCTATGGAAAGAGGTCCTCTGCAGCCTGTCCTGTCTGCACTGAGACAGCCCTAAGCTGCTTGCCAGAGACACAGGCCTCCTGACAACTGCAGACTCCCAAAGCAGAAGTCATCTCTGTCTGTGGCTATTCTTACCCTCACAGGACATTCCAGGCTCGTAGCTGTGCTTGCTTGTTCCCATTGGGAAAGCGGGGCACTTTGAGGTATAAGAGAAGCAGCTACTTTTAGCCCAGGAGACAAAACGTCTGTTGGTTAGCCAATGAACATTTTCTGTACTGGAGCTGGGAAGATGGGTCGGTTGATAAAATGCTTGCTGCACAATCGTGAGGCTCAAACCCCAGCGTCCATATAAAACACGAGCACAGTTGTATGTGCGTTTAATCTGAGTGCTGGGGAGTTAGGCGCTAGAACTCAGGGGCTGAAAGACTTACTTCATCGATTAATCCTGGGTCCTGATGAGAGATGCTGCCTCAAAAACTCAAGGAGAACAGCACCTAAGGATGGTTGACACCGGGGTTGACATCGTGGTGTTTTGAACAAGAATGGCCCCACAGGCTCCCAGTTGGTGGAACTGTTTGGGAAGGATTAGGAGGCGTGGTCTTGTTGGAGGAGGTGTTTCACTTGGGATGGGCTTTACGGTTTCAAAAGCCTTGGTCATTCTCTCTTTGCTCTATCTGTGCTTCCTGCTCATGAATCAGAATGTAAACTTTCAGCTGCTGCTCCAGGATCATGTCTACCCGCTGCTGTGTTCCCTGATGTGATGCTCACATCACACATCACAGATCTGTGAACTGTGAGCCTCCAATTCAACACTTTCTCTTATAAGCTTCCTTGGTTATGGTGTTTCATCATGGCAATGGAGAAGACAATGTCTGACATCCATGTGAATGCATTTGTACCTATATGGCACCTGTGTACACACAAATATACAAAGCCACTTCCTCCTTGAGAACTTGTCCACAGCCACTTGTGAAGGAAGTCCTAAAATGTTCATTTTCTACCTTATTGCTAATTCCTGCACCACTGAGGTAAGCACAGCTCTGTCCCACAATGTGGGTGCCAGGTCCATGCTATGACTTGGGCAGCTTTACTGGCAAAGCTCCAGAAGGCCCTACCTGCCAGTGAAGTCATTGTGTCTTCTCACAGTCTCGTCCTGCAATGAGAAGACTCAGTTTGCCTCAGAAAACCCTTCAGAGAACAATGGTTTCTCTGCATTTTAGTCAAATTCTTTGACACAAGCAATGAAATCTAGAGAAATTGTTATTGAATAAAACTATTGAAACAGCCCCACAGTGTTAAGTATCAAGTAAGCAAGAATGTCCTTTTGTCCACACAAGCTGCTCTTGATGGTGTTTTTAAAAGAGAAAAATCCAATAATTGTTGAGATTTTCTGTGGGACAAAATTGAGATTCCAGCTCCCTAGAAAGCAAAAATGGCTCTAGTTGTGGAGAGAGAAAAAGATAATCAAGACAGAAATGGACTTGAGGAGAAAAAAATCAAGAGCGACAAAGGCCGATGAGAGGCAGAATGGCTGCTTTGAAGGCCGTGCAGAAGGAGAGGCAAGGCTGAGGAACAGAAGCACGTGCAGACCTGAAGGAACTTCCCAAAGTTTAATGAAATATGAAGACATGACTGCTCTTGGCTATGGATGAGGAGAAGGTTTTTCTTGCAGATATGAGGAAGAGCATGGCCAGAGGCTTCTGGAAGGGTTGAGACTGAACCTGACCGTGAGAGGAGCAGATGGAAGGAATGAGAAAAGAAAAGGAAGAGGAGGAGAGAAGGGGAGGAGAGCCATGGGAAACAAGAGGAGAATCAAGAAAGCTTGTAGCCAAAACAGCTGAGTTAACTCAGAATTAGAGAAGCTGGGGAAGGGAAATGAAGCTCGGGGTCTGGAGAGGTTTGGAGCAGCGGCCAGGGGTTTATCAGGCAGGATTACTCCGAAACAGTACTTCTGAGCAGGGACTGAGGGAGCTCAGAAGCTAGCATAGGTCTTTATGTAGTGATAGGCGGCACAGGGTCAGTGGAGGAATCCTGTGTTCAGACATAGAATCACTCCTTTTAGCAAGCAGGAACTACAGTAAGTCCCCAATGTAATGCTCCTCTTGTATAAATGCCAGACTTTGGGAAAAGGAATTTTTTGAGATCTAACAAAACTTAAATTGTGTCTTACACACTAAGCTTATTCAGGAACTTCTTTTTGAAAGGTGCTGGAGAGTCGAGGCTGGTACTGGCCTTTCACACACTGAATTAACAAGCCCTTTCAGAAAGGTATTCTATGGGAATGGAACCTCTGAGTTCTACTCCATCCAAGGCATCACCCAGATGCAGCTAAATTCACATGTTCCAACAGATCACATGCTCACCATCCTGCCCCTCTCCGTGATCCATCTTATGTACAAGAAAAGCCAGCACCCTACCTGCTTTAAGCACTTTAAAAATTCACTACTGGAGCTGGGTGCACAACTTTAATCCCAGAACTCAGAGAGGCAGAGGCAGGTGGATCCCTGGAGGAAATAATCAAAATCAGGGCTGAAATTAATTGAAAAAAAAAATCAATGAAATAAAGAGTTGGTTCTTTTAAAAGACTAACAAAATTAACAAACCAGCAAGCAAATTAACAAAGAGAAAGGACCCAAATTAATAAAATTCAAGATGAAAGGAAAAGTACTGGGAAAAGCCAGAGAATAATAAGGAAGTACTTTTTAAAAATCTATATTCCACCAAACCGGAAAATCTGAAATAAATGGATGAATTTCTAGATAACCTGACCTACCAAAGTTAAATCAAAATGAAGTAAATAATGTAAATAGACCCAAAATAGCCAGTAAAATAGAAGCAGTAATTTAAAATCTCCCAACTAAAAAAGCCCCAAGCCAGATGGATACAGAGTAGAAGTCTATCAGACCTTCAAAGAAAAAGTAATGACAGTACTCCTTAAATCATTCCATAAAATAGAAAAGGAAGGAACTTTTCCAAAGTCTTTTATGACACCAATATTACCCTGATACTGAAAGCAGATAAAAACAAAAAAGTCTTATCATAGACCACACTCTGGTGAGCACAAATGAGGAATTCTCAACAAAACACTTACAAGAGCACATAAAAAGACATCCACCATGGTCACCTCAGCTTCACTCCAGAGATATGGGAATGTCCAACACGATTCAAGTAGGTCAATAAATACAACCCACCCCATTAATAGACTACAAGCAAGATCACGTGAGCATCTCAGTAAATGCAGAAAAAGCCTTTGCGGAAATCCCGCGTTCTTTCATGATAACATTCCTCAAGAATCTAGGGACATGGGGTATAATTCAACACAATAAAGGAATACACAACAAGCCTACAGCCTACATCATATGGAAAAAACTGGGCGATATTTCATTAATATGAGGGAGAAGACAGCATAACCACTCTCTACATTCCTGTCCAGTATAATGCATGAAATTTCACCTAGAATAGTAAAACGAGTGAAGGAGACACGGGGGAGACAAATAGGAAAGGAAGATGTCAATGTATTCTTTTTTGCATATGATATGATTCTATATATAAAATACCCTAAAGACTCTGCCAGAAAACTGCTACAACTAATAAATATATTCTGTAAAGTAGCAGTAAAAAATAATTATAATAATTAACCGCACAAAAAGAGTAACCAGCCTATATACCAACAACCATCAAATCAATGTATATTGGAAACAATCTCATTTACAATAGTTTCAAAAACCTTGGAATGACTTTAACTAAAGAAGTGAAATACTAAAGAGGTGCGACAACCTCTTTGAAGAGAGAACTTGAAGAATACATCCAAAGATGGACAGACTTTCTATGATTTTGGATTGGCAGGAGTGATATTGTGAAAACTGCCATTCTACCAAAAGCAATCTATGTATTCAACACAATTTCCATAAAAATTCTAATGCAATGTTTCACAGAATTGAGAAAAAAAAATCTTAAACTTTATATGGAAGAACACACACACACACACAAGCCAACGTGATCCTGAACAATAAAAGAACTCTGGAGGCATCACTATCCCTGATCTCAAGTTGTACTTCAGCGCTGTAGTAACAAAAAACAGCATGCTGGCATAAAAACCGGAACTTGATCAACAGAATCTAACTGAAGACCCAGGCATAAGCACAATCTCCTACGAACAACTGATTTTTGACAAATAAGCCAAAAATACACACTGGAGGAAAATACAGCATGTTCAACAATTGGTACTGGTCACGAGGCTATACGTAGAAGGATAAAATTAGATTCTTACCTCTCACCCTGCACAACTCAACATAAGCTGGACCAAGGCTTTCAACATAAGAGTTGGTTCTCTGAATCTGATTAAGAGCAGAGGGTAGGAAACAGGTTTCAACATGTAGGCACAGAGAAGGATTTTCTGACAGGACTCTGGCAATGACAACTGACAAATGGGACTGCAGGAATTTACAGAGCTTCCGTGCAGCAAGGAACACCATCATTTACATGAAGAGACACTCTACAGAATAAAGGAAAAACAAATTATCAGACTATCAGCTATACGTGTGATACAGAACTAAGATCTGTACTACACAAAGAATGAGAGAGAGAAGAACCACCAACCAGGAAAAAAGTTGGCTTGGAGCTAAACAGGATGCTCTCAAAAGATGAAGCAGGAATGGTAGGAAACATGCCTTAAACGGGAAAGGAACAGGAAAATGCAAATCAAAACCACTCTGAGATTTCCCCTTACCCCAGGCAGAACGGCTAACTCTAAAAAAATAAATTAAAAATAAAAAAGAAATGACACCAAATGTTGGCATAGATGTGGTAAAAAGGGTACACTTGTTCATTGCTGATCAGAGCCCAAAACGGTGTAGCCACTGTGGAGGTCAGTCTGCCGGCTCCTCA